GACCTCTCCAAAGTACTGAAGAGCAATGGTGTCTCTCTGGAGACTAAGGTGCGTCTGATACAGGCTATGATCCTCACAATCACTTGTTATGCATCAGAGAGTTGGACAATGACCAAGGAGGACAGAAGGAGAATTGATGCCTTTGAACTGTGGTGCTGGAGAAGAGTATTGAGAATACCATGGACTGCTAGGAAAACAGATTCGTCCTGGAAAGGGTTAAACCGGGTGGCTCCTTGGAGGCAAGGATTCTGAGGCTCCATCTAACATATTTTGGACATGTTGTGAGGAGAGACCGGTCCTTAGAGAAGGACATCATGCTGGGGAGGGTGGAGGGACAGCGCAGGAGGGGAAGGCCCTCTATGAGGTGGATTGATTCAGTGACTGGGATAATTGGGATGGGTGTGTCAGAGACAGTGCGATTGGCACAGGACAGAGCAGAGTTTAGGGCTGTTGTACATAGGGTCGCTATGAGTCGCAAGCAACTCGAAGGCACATAACAACAACAACAGTGGAGTGCACTGGGTGGGGGGAGGGGGATTGTATACCAATGAAGGAATTTTTCTTTTACTTTTTAAAGAGAGACGCGAACTGGGGGGGGGCGCAGGGAGAAAAGTGCAACAATTAATGAATGGAAATCCAAAATCTCTGTTAATGTTCATTAAAATTAAAATAAAAAAGTATGGGAGAGTATGAGGTCAGAGCAAAAAACTACACAGGATTTGAGGGTGTCCATGGAGGGGGCTGTCTCAGATATGTGGTGGAGCATGCCTGAAAACTTTCTGGATCTGCTGGAATTTTGCCTGGATGAGGAATGGACGAGAGAATCTCTGGCACGGGCCCTTCAGACACACACCTTTACTGAGTTGAGGAGGAAAGCTGCACCCTTATCTAGTTAGAACAGTGGTTCTCGGCCTCAGATCAGACTCATGTGGCGATAGTAGGGCCAATCCCAGCAAGGAGACGGCTGCTAAAGGTGGTACACTGTTTGGAAAGCTTGGACTTTGACATTCAAGCCCAAGCTTTGCAAATGCTGCTGTGTGTCTGGAACGACTAACTGATTGAAGGCGACGTGTATTCATTTCCTGTCTAACAGTCTCCTTCCCTAGACCTGGCATAGGCTGGCACAGTAGAGGATTCCTCCCTCCTTCAGCGCTACACTAATTCTCACTACCATGCCGCTTCATGCGCCTTCATCAAATAAAGTGTTTCGTCTTGGTGGGGGAGGGGGTAATGGGACTTTTCCATGCATTTGTACAGAAATTAACAGCATATTGGTCTAGAAGTGCTACATCCCCCCCTCCCATTTGTAACACGGGTGAATGCACAGTATTAAATGTGTAAAGTATTATCTACATGGGTTTGAATACAGAAACTAATACAGTGTTCCCTAAAGAAAAAAAATATATGAGACTTTTCAATAAACCTCACATTTACCTGGGGCAAAGGAGAAGTGGTGGTGTTGTTATTATGTACCGCTGAGTCAGTTCTGACTCAAAGCTGACCATCTCACAGATTTTCAAAGGCAATAAATTGTATGGGATGTGATTGACTGGCTTTCTTCTGTGGAGCAGCTGGTGGATTCAAATCACATGCCTTAGGATTAGCAGTTCAGCTCCTCACCACTAAGCTACCAGAGCTCCCTATGAAGCCAGTAGAGGGGGAAACTTCCTCACTCTTTTTCAAAGTGACCATAAGTGTTTCAGAATAGGCTGAATCACCTGCATTCAGCAGAGGTTGGTGGCTGGGGGCTGTCTGGACATATCTGGCTGTTGAGGTCATGTGTTATACCAAAATCAAAGCCAAAGAAAACCCACTGGCTTTGAATCAATTCAAATTCAAGGTGATTTTCCATCAAGTTTCCAAAGTTCTATATATCTTAATAGAAGGAGACTGCCCATCTTTCATCAACCACAAACCCATGGCCATCAAGTCAATTCTAACTCACAGTGACTTATCGAGGTTTTGAGGTTGTAAATCTTTACAAGAGTGACTGCCCATATTTTGCCCACAGAAAGAAAGTGTGGAAGAATTATAGACACTTGAGAGATAAGTGAGGTGTGCTACTTTTCAAAGATAGAGAGAGGAATGTCTTCATAAGAGTTTGAGGACCAGAAGAATCCCAGTAGAATAGGCTTCCCTCCCCCTTCCTAATCATGTATTTGTAGGGAATACCACTCTGAAAAGAAAATCCAGAGCAATCCAGTTGGAGGCAAAAAAATATAGTTTCAAAGTAATATGGAAGAAGAATACAAATACTAAGGTACTGTTACAATGATGGGGGAAATTCTGAAATGACTAATGGTATTGGTTGTACGTACGAAAACGGCGATGCTCTTTTGCCTACACAGCTAGAGCAGGGAGGAAAGAAGAAATCAATCCCAGGATTGCTGCTTTTGTGAATAGTAGATGAAATGTGTGAACGCACCATGCTTACTGGTTTGGGCAGTCTAAACATGCTTTAAATGGTTGCATAATTTTTGGCCTATATGTTTGGTTGGTTTTTTTTGTTTGGTTTTTTATTTTATTTTATTATTTTTTGTGCATGTACTGTCAAATCAGATCTTACTGGTACAGGAGGAAACTGTCCTTCCTTCTCCGGCAGAGCATCTGGTGGATTCGAACCGTGTACGTTTGGGATTACAGTACAGCTTCTTGCCACTAGGCCACTAGAGCTCCCCTATATGTTTGTTTTTATGGACCAAACAGTCGATTTAAACAAATTAGTTGCCACTGAGTTGACGGACTCATGTTTTCAGAACAGAGCTGTGCCCCACATGGTTTTCCAAGGCTGATTCTTTAGAAGCATTTTGCTAGGCCTTTCCTTGGAGGTGCCTCTGGGTGGATTTGAACCTCTAACCTTTGGGTTAGTAGCTTCATGCTACTTTACACCTCCTAGGGGCTTCAGTTGTTTCTCTTGTGCTACTCACCCAAAGGCCACACTCTTCTGGAAATTCAAATCCATCATTAGTTCCACTGGATAAAGATGGACAAACTCTCGTGTGATTCGCAGCCTTGGAGATCCACTGGAGCACTGGCTGCAAGTCTGTTCCGTTTCAATGGCAATGAGTTAGTAGGATTGTTTTTGTTTTTGTTTTTGTTGGTTTCAGATTGTTTTTCGTGTTTCTTTTTTCTTTTTTATAGCGGTGTTAGTGTTGCAGAAAAATTGTGCAGAAAGTACAGAGTTCCCATCTGCACCTCCCCTGCCCTGAAGTTTTGTGGGTTTTTAAAAAAAATTTTAAGTACAATTTTATTTGATGTTTGATGTTACATTAATAAATGACAGTGAACAATTTAAACAGGTATAAAAAGTGAAATCAAAATCTTTATGCTCAAATACTTGAAAAGTCCTATGAATATAGAAATAGTTCTGTATACATAAAATGTAATTTTTTTTTTCGTCTAATGAAAAGTCAGGGCATAATGTCATCTCCCTGGTCCCTTAATACTTGGATTTTTGCAAAGAATTAGCAGCACTCAACCTTAAGTGTTGATTATGGGTTTCTAAAAGGACCTATAACAACTGATTAGTTTGTTGTGGTCTAGCTATTGGAAGATAGTGGGGGTGGGGAGTGGGGTATGTCTGGGGTAGGGGAGGGACCTGTAGTTTCTTTTAATATTAACATCTTACATTCATCTGGTACATGTGTTACAATTGAACAGACCTGTGTTGATACTCTTTGTGTCATACAATCCTATTGGGATTTTTATTGCTGTATGAATATTGATAACATACTTGCCATTTGACTTTTTAACACATATATCTTTTTCACAGTGAGATCATGTCATACAACTATCATTAATATCCATCTCCCCACTGTCACTTTTAAAAACCCAAATTCAAATTCACTGTTGTCAAATTGGAACCTGCTCATAGCTGAGGTTTCTGAGGCTATAAAATGCATGGGAGAGGATTGCCTTTCTTTTTCTCTTGGACCCACTGGTGGATTTGAACCACCAAAAAGGTGTAGTTTTTTGGGGGTTAACAGCGTAACTCCTTATGGATTACATCATTGGAAATCCCTACCTAATCACTCTAGTAACTGTTAATTGTTAATATTCATTGTTGACAAGTTGCTTTCAAGTCCTGTGACCCTGCAGGACAGAGTAGAAGCTTCTGGTCGTTTCCAAGACTGCACTTCTTCCAGGAGAAGATTGCCTCCTTTTTCTCCTGTGGAACTCTGGTGGATCTACACTGCTGACCATTCAGCTAACCGCCCAGTGTCTCTTAACCCACATGCTATGAGGTGTCCTTGTGAATGAATAGTTTATTACTCTGCTTCCACAAAATAATGATGCTCAAAACCAGGATGGAGACTCAGCCTACTCTGTGTGTACAATTATCCGTCTCTAAGGGTAGATTTCACCGCTTATCTGTCAGTTAGTCACACTGGGGTGGTTTGCATGTTGCTGTGATGCTGGAAGATATCACTAATACCACTAATATTGTAAATACCAGCAGGGTCATCCATGGTGCAAGTTTCAATGGAGCTTCCAGACTACAACAGAGTAGGAATAAAGGCCTGGTAATCTACTTCCCAAACTCTGCCAATGAAATGCATCGCCATCAAATTGACTTTGATTCATAATGACCCTACAGGACTGAGTAAAACTGTCTCACAGGGTTTCCATGGCTGTGAAGTCTTCACAGAAGCAGCCTGCACCATCTGTTTCCCACGGACAGGTTGGTGGGTTAGAACAAACCACTGAGCTTTCAGGTAGCAGTCAATTAACCACTGCCACTGTGTCTCCTGCAGCCAATAAAGACAATGGTTAAAAATACTCGAAATTGGGGAGCTCTGGTGGCCTAGTGGCAAGAAGCTGCACTGCAATCCCAGAGGCTCACGGTTCGAATCCACCTGATGCTCTGCTGAGGAAGGAGGGGCAATCTCCTCCTGTACCTGTCAGATCTGATTTGACGGTACACACACACAAATAATAAACACTTAACAACTGATAATTCATCTGTAACATAGTCCCTTTCTTTTGTTTTTCTGTTTCAGGCCGCGTAGTGAATATCAGTAGTTTACAGGGTTCAAAAGCACTAGAGAACTGTAGTGAAGATCTACAGGAGAAGTTCCGAAGTGAGACGCTCACAGAGGGGGATCTGGTGGACCTCATGAAGAAGTTTGTAGAGGACGTAAAAAATGAAGTGCATGAGAAGGAAGGCTGGCCCAACTCGGCGTACGGCATGTCCAAGTTGGGAGTCACAGTCTTATCACGAATCCAGGCCAGGAATCTAGACCAGAAGAGAAAAACAGACAGGATTTTGCTGAATGCGTGCTGCCCTGGGTGGGTGAAGACAGACATGGCTGGGGACTACGGCTCCAGGACTGTGGAGGAGGGGGCTGAGACACCGGTGTACTTGGCTCTCCTGCCCCCGGATGCTACTGAGCCTCATGGCCAGCTGGTCCGAGACAAAGTTGTCCAAAACTGGTAAATGTCTATCTGTTTGGGAGGTTAATGCTTAATAAATATCTGTGGGAAAGTGAACTATTTATTCTCCATCTGATTCCATTTCTGTCCTTTGACATGTGAATCTCCCTTTATAAAAAGGGTGCAGAAAGCATAAGGATTTCCGTAACTGACCTCTATCAATCCACAAGGGGAAATTGTCTCCATCAACAACACCTACAGCACAAAACTAATTTATTTTTTATTTTTTTAATTAATTTTAATGAACATTTACAGAGATTTTGGATTTCCATTCATTCATTGCTGTACTTTTCTCCCTGCCACCCCTCCCCTCCAGCTCGCTCCTCTCTTTGAAAAGAAAAAAGAAAAATTCCTTCATTGGTATACAAGTACAAAACCTATTTCAATGAAGTCAGACATGCCCCACTTAACTCCCCAAAACTACTTGCCGAATATCCCAAACCAACCATCCCTCCCACTGCTTTACTACTAGGTCTGTTAATCCTTTGCAATGGCCACACAGAACTCACAAGAACCTTACTTGTGAATATGGGTTTATTAGGATGTTTGCAGATAACAATCCAGATTGGTTTTAAGTTAGCAGACTTAAGGAAAGAATCAGAGAGAATGAGAGAAAGCTAACATGCAGCTTAATTAAAGGTGGGGGTGGATGTAGGAAAGCTATTGGGTGAGTTTCCTCATTCTGAAGAAGCAGAATGGGAAGGCACACCATCAAGGATATTGGGGAGGGTATTTATAACACGGTCTCAAAGGAGGGACGTTCCATTGTGTTTTATGGTTCATCCCTTAGTTCTGTCCGGTGGGTGGGGCCGTTCACTCTTGTCGACTTCTTTATTCTTTGAATTTTTCAATCTCCCCTTTAGCCCCTCTGTCTGGACCTAACAGTTGGCAGCAGGATCCAATTCTTAAGTCAGAATAGCTTCTCAAGTATACTTGCTCACAGTCTTGACTTTCAGCATTATTCCTGCAGGTTAGTGTTATAAACTTACAAGACTCTCTTAGCGTCTTATCAAGTAAAGCATCTCCTCTCCACTAGGCATGATGTTAGAATCCAGTAGCTGCTCCATGGGAGAAAGCTGGGCAATCATTTGTGGGACTTAGAGCCTCTGAAAACTCACTGGAGGGTCAGCTATGAGTCAGTTTCAACTTGATGGTACATGACAACACCAATTAAACCTGTACTCGAATAAGCATGTTCCTTTCTCTGAAGAATCACCTGTTGCAGTTGGAATTTTGGTAGTCTGCATCTATAAAGTCCAGTCCAGAGACCATCAGATTGCAGCAATTTACACAACTCACAGTGTCAAACAGCTTCTCATCTGGTTGAATTCTGGTCAGCACATACCTAGCGGTCTGGGGTTAGGTTCAATAGGCACCAGCTGAAAACTCAGGGGTTCACATTATCTTCCTGTATTTCAGATGGGCTGGTCCCTTTACTCAGAGCCTTAGCCCCTCACATGGGCTAAGTCAATAAGGTCAACAGGGAGTCCTCATAACTCTGCTCCTCAGGCTAGCAAACTTTCTTCACTAATCCTTAGCAACGGGGTGTGTTAGGTCAAAGGATACATCCAAACTCAACCTGTCTCTTCATTAGTACACCCCTCACACTTCCATTCACCAAGTAGATCTTACTAGACACTATGAGAAGCCGTGCTAGGCTGCCTACTCGGCAGCTTTCTTTAACTTCCAGTCCTGCAAGGGACTATTGATGATCAAATCTGATCTCATCTCAATATGCCTAAAGACGAACCATTTGCTCCAATTTTAAAAGGCCTATGTTTCTTTTTCTGCTGGTTTTTCCTTCACATGTAAAACCTTTCACTTTGCAGTCCAAGGAGAATCTACAGATGCATTCAATTGCAAATCTCAGAGTACTGAGTGAAGCTTAATCTTCGCCCCCCCAAACTAAACCAAAGTGAAGAAGATAAAAGGCTACAGCCTTCAACATAGATTAGATTACATCTCAACATTGTTGTTGTTACATGTCATCCAGTCACCTGTAAGTCATAGCGACCCTATATACTCTGAACTCTGCTCTATGCTGACCCAGTCTCATTGATGTCGACACACCTATCCTCATTATATCAGTTACTATGTCAATCCATTTCACATGGTGTCTCCCTCTCCTGCACTGTCCCTCCACCCTTCTAAGCATGGTGTCCTTCTCCAAGGATTGGTCCCTCCCGGCAACATACCCAAAGTATGTCAGATGGAGCTTCAAAATCCTTGCCTCCAAGGAGCATCCTGGTTTCATCCTCTATAAGATAAACCTGTTTGTGTTCTCTTGGCAGTCCATAGCAATATTAAGAAAAAAAGAACTCTCACCACTGCACCAGTAGGCAACATCATGATAGATAAAGAAAAGATTGACATTGTCAACAATTTCATTTTATGTGGGTCTTCAATCAACACCTATGGTAGCAGCAATGAAGAAATTAAAAGATGCATTCCATTGAGCAAATCTGCTGGCTGTCAAGAGCATCTCCAAAGTACTAACAAGTCAAGGATGTCTGTTTCAAGACTAAGGTGTGCCTGACAACAACCATGATCTTTTCCATTTCTTCCTATGCATCTGATGAGTTCTGGTGCTCAGTGCTAAGGAGATGTACTGCCAATCCAAAGGCCTGCCATTCCACCAAGTGCTGCACAGGAGAAAGACAGGCCATCCCCCTTGGGATTTACTGCCTCTGCAAACTCACTGGAGGGTCGGCTATGAGTTAGTTTTAATTCAACAATACATAACAATGAGTCTGTCAGTTGAATCCCACACTCGGTCCCTGAGTGGTGCAAATTGTTAAGTTCTAACTGAAAAGAAAGGCAGAAAGCTTGAAGCCACACAGCTGAGCTTCTAAGAAAGACCTGGTGATTTACTTCTAAAACATCATCCTTTGAAAATCCTGTGATTCCTCCACAAGTAGAGATTGACTAGAAGGCAAGTGGTTTGAGGTTTTTTTAGTCTGACTCAACTCTAGATGAGTTTGTCTCAGCTCTAGATGAGGCAGACTCAAAACGACTCTATGATTCCATGATTCTATAGGTCTGGGATTGAACCTGAGAGTTAGCATTTCTAACAATGTCCTTGTATGGCACAGTTTGCACTTAGCTAACACCCTGAAGGTTGGAGACATGGAGTCTGCTCAGTGGAGTCCAGAAGAAAAGCAGCCTGTCTGTTTTCATAAAGGTTAAAACCAAGTCAACTCCTACTTATTGCACTTCTTTGGGGCAGAGTAGAACTGCATCATAAGCTTCTAAAACTGTCATTTTGTTTTTATCTGTAATTTCTAAAATATAATTTTATTTATTTTGTTTTTGTTGAGAATATACACAGAAAAATTACAGCAAGTCGATGGTTTTTACACATACATCTACATCAAGAAAACAAAGATTCTCACCACTGGACCAATTGGCAGCACCAGGATGAATGGAGAATAGATGGAGGTTGTTAACAATTACAGCTTGCTGGGCTCTACAATCAACACTATTGGCACCCGCAGCCAGGAAATCAAAAGATAGATTGCTTTAGGTAAATATGTCGTCAAGGACCTTTCCAGAGTACTGAGAAGCAACGATCTTAGTCTTGAGAATAAGGTGCACATAATCCAGGCCATGGTCTTCGCAATTACTTGATATGCATCAAAGAGCTGAACAATGACTAAAGATGACAGAAAAAAATATTGATGCTTTTGTGTTGTGGTGCTGAAGAAGTCTTGAACATACCATGAACCACCAAGAGAACAAATAGGTCTGTCTTGGAGAGATGAAACCAAGTTTCTCCTTGAAGGTTAGGATTTTGAAGCTCCATCTCACATACTTATGACATGTGGCCAAGAGAGCCCAATCCTTGGAGAAGGGCATCATGCTTGGAAGGGTGTAGGGATAGCGCAGGAGAGGAAGACCCCGGAGGAGATGGATTGATATAGTAACTAGGGCAATAAGGGTAGGTGTGTTGGAGTCAGTGAGACTGGCTCAGGACAGAACAGACTTCAGAGCTGTTGTACTTAGGGTTGCTATGAGTCACAGGCAACTCAATGACACATAACAATAACAAGAGCAGCATGCATTTAGTAACAAGGGTGCTCTTATTGCCTTGTGGCAAGAACCTGTACTGCAATCCCAAAGGGATTTCGTTCTAATCCACCAGCTGCTCCACAGGAGAAGGATGGGCATTATTCTTCACTGCGACTTACTCTCTCTGAAAACCTGCGGGAGGGTCAGCTATAGGTTGGTTCTGACTCAATGGTACACAGTAACAACATTTAGTAACAATGACTACTAGTGTCATAATGAGCTTTTCTGAATTGTTCCTCCTCCTTTAACAAAGTCACTGCCACCTAAGGTCCCTAGCTATTATTTGAGTTGCTTTTGTAAATCTGATCCTATCTAAATAGTTCTTAAATAAGTATAATACCTATGGAATATTTTTAAAAAATTATGTCTCTTTGTGCTTTATTTTTTTCTCCTAGTTTATTTACAAAACTCAAATATAAATTGGAACAAATTCTTTCCATTTCCCTCACACACCCCCACCCATCAAATTTTACAACCCAATGATTAATCCTCCCTTCTCCCTGCACATCCACATCCCTCTGCTTTCAGCCTCTCTCACCGCTCCTGGATCCTTATACTCATTCTAAAATAATGGTTTTATACAATATTTATCCTTGTGGGACTGAGTTAGTTCACTCGGCATAATGTTCTTTAGTCCCTCCCAAATTAGGTAATAATTTACCAAGTTATTGCTCCTGTATGCTACGTAGTATTCCATTGTGTAAATGTACCATAATTTCCCAAACCATTCATTTGTGGTTGGACATTTTGGCTGTTTCTATGTTATTGCGATGATGAATAATGCTGCTATGAACATCGGTGTACAAATCTCAGTTTGTACCTCAGTTCTCATATTCTCAGGGTATATTCCAAGTAGTGGAATAGCTGGGTCATATGGAATTTCTATGTTCAGCTTTTTGAGGAAGCACCAAATTGCCTTCCCAAATGGTTGCACCA